CCAGAAAAGCCATGATCAATTGCTTTCTTGGATTAAACTGATGGTTCTAAATGAAAAACAAATTAGGTGCAGATGTTCAGTATATTGAGATTAATTTTATTCTCATGGGTAAACCATTTCTTCAGTTTCTTGGACTAACAGTAATTTGTTTCCAGAGAAGTGAACATGTGCCAAAATAACTAAGCCAAGCAGCACAGTTCAATAAGTTTTTCCACACACATATATATAAAGTAGATAAATAAACAAAAGGTCCCGCATTTGTATTAGTAATGACTTTCTATAAAAGTAAAATAAAATCCATTCAACCAAGACATGTCAGAACCTACTAGATTCAGACAGATTCAAAAACAAACAAAAAGAGCTACTTGCCTGGGGCTCCAGCCTAGTAGAAAAGAGACCAATAAGCAATAATTACAATATAAGGTAATGGGGCTCAAATAGAGATGGGAGCAAAACACTTTGGAAATATGAGCTTTTCCTACTAATGAACCCAAGAAAGGATAACATAATATAGTTCACTATCACACACACACAAATACTAAAAACATAATAAATAATGTATGAGAATGTTTGGTCTTCTCACGTCAGTAATAACAATGACTATATATTATGGGTATAGATATTTTATAAAACACTTATGTATTACAAGGTAGATCAATCAGCTTTAATTATCATTTAATATCTTCACCCATGATCTTTGTAAGCAACTTAAGAGCAGGAATCATGTTGTCCACCTTTGTGTTCCAAGGCCCAACACGATGCCTGTTACATAATAGTTTTAACACATGTTGAATGAATGAATGTATACACATATACATGAGTGTTCATAATGACAAAAATAGCACACTTCTGCATTCATGGATACCAGAATTGAGTGGGACAGACAATATTTGGAAAGGATATTTGATATCCAATATATCAGAAGGTTCACTAAGCAAAGGGAAATGAAGTTTAATAGGGATGGGTACTGAGAGCACCTATCTATAAGTTAACATATGTGATTCATTTTTTTCATATTCTCTCTAGTTGTATAATTATGACTACATAGTAGATATTCAACAAATGCTTGTTGAATGAACACTTCTATCTCCATAATATATCTCTTAAACTCAACTCCTCTCTATTGGCCTGAACTATTATAGCAATCTATGGATCTCCACTCTTTCGCTTCCAAAGTAGCTTTAGTTGCCATATTAGTCCCCCTAAAATACACTGATCATGTAACTTTTATTTTCAAATTTCCCAAAAGGCTCCCTAGTATTCAGGATCCCTCATTAAAAAAAAAAAAAAAAAAAAAAAAGAAATGCATAGGGAGTTCATAGTACAAAAGCCTGGAACTGACACAGAGCAGATGCTAAATGGCCAAAAATTAATGAACTAGGTTGTGTTGGGAAAATTAGTTATCCATATGCTTTAAAGTGAGAATGGATCCCTATACAAAAATCAATGTTATATAGTAAGAGATTTAAACATAAAAGAAAATATAGGATAATTTAAAATAATCTCTACTCAGCTCTCTAGTCTCCCAGCTGTTGTTTAATACTAGGTTTCTTAGAGCACCACCGTATACAAGCACAGTTTAGCAATCTGCTAAAAACTTGCGAGGAATTTGTATCCAGATTCTTGCATTCCTTCTCTGCAATTCCCTCCTCTCCAGGATTTTGACCTTCAAGTTATAGCCACTATTATCTCCAAACTCTGCCTCAGTTTCTTCAGCCCAGTAAGACTGCTGCATCCTGTTAGGGTTGTATTCTTTTGCATTCCAATTTGGAAAATGCCATAAAGAAAAGGCCAGGATGAATGTGGTGCTCACTTCATGTGTTTCTTGTCTTTGAATGATTATAGTCTCTTAGATCCTGCCTGTGCTGATTGTTCTCAATGCCTTCAAACAGTGTATACAGTATTTTATTCAGTTTTTACAGATTTTTTTTGATAGGCAAATTAGTTTAAAATAAGCCATTATGGCCAGAATTGATGCCTAGTTATGAAACTGTCTTGTTGGTTTCTCATTTTTCTGATTCCTTGTTTTTTTAATTTTTTTTTAATGTATTTACATTTTTTTTTTGAGGCAGGGTCTCACTCCAGTCCCCCAGGCTGAAGTGCAGTGGTGTGATCTCTCCCCGCTGCAGACTTCCTGGGCTCAAGCGATCCTCCCACCTCAGCCTCCTAAGTAGCTAGTACACGTGCTCACTACCATGCCCAACTAATTTGCGTGTGTGTGTGTGTATTTAGTAGAGACAGGGCTTTGTCATGTTGCCCAGGCTGGTCTCAAACTCCTGCCCTCAAGTGATCCACCCATCTTGACCCCCTAAGGTCCTAGGATTACAGGTGTGAGCCACCACGCCCTGCCAGATTCCTTCTTTTAATTATAATGTTAAATAAAATAGATATTTTTTGAGACGGGGTCTCACTTTGTTGTCCTGGCTGGTCTGAAACTCCAGGGCTCAAGCAATCCTTCCACCTCAGCCTCCCAAGGAGCTAGGACTACAGGTGTGTACCACTACACCCAGCTAATATTTTTTTGTTTTAAATAAATAGAGTCCCTCTATGTTGCCCTGGCTGGGCTCAAACTCCTAGCCTCAAGACAGCCTTTTTGCCTGGCCTTTCTAAAGTGCTGAAATTACAGGTGTGAGCCACTGTGATTGGCTGATTTCTTCTTTCATATCTTTAAACATTCCATCAGTGATTATTTTATATTGTGTCTCTAATGATGCCAATCACTGATGTTTTTCATAGACTAAATCTGTTTGTTGTTTCTGCTGACTCTTATTCATAGTAGATTGCTCCCTTATGTGTTTGGTGATCTTTCATTGTCAGTTCATGTTTGGTTTATTTAATATGGGAAAATCCTGGAAGTTTAAGGTGAAGATATTTTCTCTAAAGAGAATTTGTGCTTGCGTCTGTTTGGAGGCAAGGAGTATTACAGCCTTGGGACATATTATCTCCAATTATTCTTTGAAAATTATTTGTAGATCATTTACTATCTTATTCCTTAATCAAAGATAGTACATACTATCTTTGATTTCTGAATGCTGGTGCTTTGTATAAAGCACAAATGAACGAACACAATGCCCAGATTTAATTGGACACAGGAGAATACTAAAGAATTATTACTATCCTTTGCTGGAAATTCAGATCCATTACTGCTTTTGGCAAGCATGTAAAAACAAACAGCAACACAGAGAAAGGAAGAAAATGCGTAATTATCAGATACTTGAAAGAACGTGAAATCTGTTATGAAATCAACTATGCAAATACTGCCATATAAATCATAGTTCTATTAATTCTTTGATACTATGAAAAACATAATTAAAAAAATCAAAGTAGAAACAAAAAAACAAAAGAAAACAATGCATGGTATCTGATGAAAAGATTACAGCTAACAAGTCTGGTTTTACATTGCTCTTCTTTCAACCATCTTGGTCATATAATACTTCTACAGGATGTTATACTGTTGGATCATCAACTGAAATCCTCACTTGTTCCATGTAATCTGCTTGCTGTTAAGCTAGGTTCCTTCACTTCACATTTTTGAAGCTGAGTTTTACACCTAAATCAATCATAATGAAAAATCTGAAGGGTATCAAAGTCTTAATTTTGTGGCTATTCCCAATCTGAACTGTTTGCTCTTTTATGATAACAAGTTAAATGGAGTTAACCTTTCTCGAGTGAATAATTTCATCAGCTGACGAGCCCAAATGAAAGGTTATAAATATCCGAGCAGTAGTTAAAACTGAGATTGAAAATGAGGGAGATTTTTTTTAAATTACTATAATAAAAACCAAATTCAAGAGAAGTAACTTTGGAAATAACCTGCAGACCTGAGAAGCGCATATAACTAGCATATTCAGTAGTATAACTCAATGTCAGCCTCTTTTTATGCATTCAACTAATGAAAGGTATTTTTCTAACCCCTTAATTAATTAGCTATATCTGATTCACATTTTTAAATAGAAAATAACTCTAACAGTTCCTGCTGGATCTAACTCATTTTAATTGCTTTTTATTCAAACAATTCAGAAATCTAAAATAACAAAAAGAAAAATACCAGGACTGGAAATCTATTTTATAGAACAAAATTTTATGGAGGAAAAACAGTTTTTAGGTGAATAAGTCTTTAAATAAATGTAGAAGCTTCCTATTTTATCTGTTTGATGGCTTTAATCTTAAAAATCTGAGCTCTTAATAATACATTTAAAAGTGTGAAATCATTGATATTGGCAACATAGTTTTAGATTTTTAAAAGTTGAAAATACATTCAGAAAATAAATTTATTTTATGCCTCTTAATGCCACATATTTCAAGAGACATTTCAATCTTTTAAATTAAATTAAATTAAATTAAATTAAATTAATTAGAGACAGGGTCTTGCCCTGTCATTGAGGATGGAGTACAGTGATGTGAACTCAGTTCACTGCAGCCTCAACCTTCCAGGTTCAAGTGATCCTCCCACCTGAGCTCCACAAGTAGCTGGGACTGCAGGTGTGTGCCACCATGCCTAGCTAATTTTTAAATTTTTTGTAGGGATGTGGTCTCGCTATGTTGCCCAGGCTGGGATTTCGACTTTTTACAGTAAAAGTAACACTCATTAAGGAAAAAATTTTAAACCGTGAAAAGGAAAAAAATTCCACATATGTTCCCCAAATTTAAACCTAACCACTATTAATATCTTTGAGTACTTCTTTTTGGTCTCTATTTTTTCCCTATACACAGACTGGTAACATAGTTTGATCACATTGTCTATATAAATTTGATCACTTTTTTTCCAATAAACTTTAGATCATAGAATAAATTCTACTGTTCAAGGAACCTGGAATGCAGCTGCTGATGGTTATCTGTGCTTTTACTCTCTGTAGCTTAACGACACCTTTTAGAGAAAATATATAAAATCTATGAGTCATGCACTTGAGACTTTATTATCTGTCCATTGCATAGTTCCACTAATCAACTAGCAGACATCACACAAAACATTTACTCTTCAAAGAAATTTTACTTCTCACCTTCTGGGCTGCAAGATGGAGGGCTGTTCTCTGGCTATGGTCAGTTTTATTCACATCTGCTCCTGCCTTCAGGAGAGCATCTGCACAATCCAATCTGTCAGCCAACACGCAATACATAAGTGGTGTTCTCCCAAATTGATCTTCTTTGTCTTTAAGAGCAGAGTTTCCTATGAGGACAAGAAACAGATAGTGATATTTGATAATTGTTATTACTAATATAAGTAGGAACTATATTTGCTGTTTATTATCAAGCATTGTGCTAAATGCATTAAATATATCATCTTATTTTTACTTATCCTATGAAGTAGATATTACCATTGTCATATTATATGAAACTGAGGCTCAAAGTAGTTAAGTAACCAGTCTATGTTCACACTGAAAGCAGGTGGGGCTAGAATTTAAACTGATGACTCAATCATATTATGCTGAACGAACATTTTGAGATACAGAGCTACTTATGTTCCTCCCTCACTCACTCTTGTCTTTTGAAACAAATATTTAATTAATGCCAACTGTACACTAGGCATTGTGGTATGCTTTATGAGTGATACAAAAATGAATCATAGGCCAGGCATGGTGGCTCACACCTGTAATCCCAGCACTCTGGGAGGCCGAGGTGGGCAGATCACCTGAGGTCAGGAGTTCGAGACCAGTCTGACCAACATGGTGAAACCCTGTCTCTACTAAAAATACAAAAATTAGCCAGGCGTGGTGGCAGATGCCTGTAATCCCAGCTATTCAGGAGGCTGAGGCAGGAGAATTGCTTAAACCCAGGAGGTGGAGGTTGTAGTGAACCAAGATCGTGCCGTTGAACTCCAGCCTGGACAATGAGAGCAAAACTCCATCTCAGAGAAAAAAAAAAAAGTCACGGTTGATTTCCCTTTCTAGTCAAGATGACAAGCTAGAGCAAGTACACAGTATCCTCATCCTCCTGCTAATTACAACTAAAATCCCCAGGGCAAAAGGCAAAATAAATGACAGGCGGAGAAGGGAAGGCAGCCTTGACTAGGAACTTTGAAATTTGAGAGACAACCTGTGGTAAGTTCCCTGAAGCATTTTTTGTTTGCTCGTTTGCTTTTGCCTCCAATCTATAGTAAATTATAGGCTAGAGTAGCCTATAATCCAGAAGCACCAAAGCACGCAGATGCCAAATGTCTCGAGAGAAGTCTACTCTCTCTAGTAAAAAGACTGGCAGGCAGGTAACTCTGCCGAGTGAACCATTTGACTACGCTGTACTCAAAACACATACAATAAAAGAAACTGTACCTCTTTTCCCCACTGGACACTATAGAGACTGTTGGGAGGAGCCCTGTCAAATTACCATGCCCCGAATTAAGCAAAGGATATCAATGAGGTAGTATTTTACCCCTTTCCAACTAGAGAGTAGGAGAGTAGGAGTATAGAGAGGACAAAGTTGGAGGAAGTAACTCTTTAAATTGGTATAAAAAGTCAGGACACTTTGGTATAAAAAGTCAGGACACTTTTGAGCAGCCCATGTGTGAAACTGGTAAGAATCAAGATAGCAAAAGCTCTGAGAATTGAACTATAGTTAGATTACTGCCTTGGTTCTAAATGGGCCTGAGCAGCCCAGAGGTGGGGCAAACCAGAAGAGCCCTGCAAGATCTCTGAAAACGAACTTGAAAATGAAACCACAAATTCGAAAGAGAATGTTCATTCTAAACCTTGACAGATTGTCCATTTACTAAAATAAGATCCAGAGTCTCATAATACAGAAAATGTCAAAGATATAATACCAAATTATGAAACAACTCAAAAGTTTGGAAAATATTAATGTAAACAAGAAAAGACAATCAACAGGCACTGACACTGTAATGACACAGATATATTAGAATTATGTGACAAGAATTTTAAAACAACTCTCATAAAAATGCTCCAACAATCAACTATGAACACTCATGAAACAAATAGAACATTAGGAATGAAAAAAGAGCAGCAGAATGTAAATATCTGAGAAAAATAATACAGTGTTTTTATCCTCTTTAGCTTTGTTTTTTTTTTTTTAATGAGAGTCCCACTGTGTTGCCCAGGCTGGTCTTGAACTCCTGGACTCGGCTCAAGCAATCCTCTCTGCCTCAGCCTCCTGAGTAGTTGGGGCTACAATGCATGCCTGGCTTACCCTCTTTAATTTTTAGAATTATGTTTCCATGATTGAAAGCAAAAATAACCTTGCTGTATGACGTGGTTCTCAGTTTATGCAGAGGTGATTTTTAAAATAACTATATTAAAAAGAAGGGTAAAGGGACCTAATTAGTGATAAGGCTTCTATATTGCACTCGAAGTGGAAAACACAGACTGTGATAAAATAACTATACATATTCTAATACCAGATCATACACACACACACACACACACACACACACACACACTTAGAAACAAGTAAACAAAAAACCTCCAACAAAGACAAACTATACAAAGAGATTTATTTAAAAACACAATACAGACCCAGCAGGGTGTCTCATGCCTATAATTCCAACATTTTGAGAGGCCGACATGGGTGGTTCACTTGAGGCCTGGAGTTGGAGACCAGCCTGGCCAACATGCCAAAAACCGGTCTCTACTAAAAACACAAAAATTAGCTGGGTGTGGTGGTGGCACATGCCTATAATACCAGCTACTTGGGAGGCTGAGGCATGAGAATCACTTGAACCCAGGAGGTGGAGGTTGCAGTGAGCTGAGATTGTGCCACTACATCCCAGCCTGGATAACAGAACAAAAACCACAATATAAGATACCACTTCACATACACGAGGATGGTTATAATAAAAAAGATACATAATAACAAGTATTAATGAGAATATGGAGAAATCAAAACCCTCATATACTACTGGTGGGAATCTAAAATGGTGCAGTCACTTTGGAAAATATTCTGGAAGTTCCTCAAAACATTAAGTAACCATTTGACCCAGCAATTCCACTCCCAAGTATATACCCAAGAGAAATGAAGACATACGTCCACACAAAAACTGGTACACAAATATCCATTGCAGTATTATTCATGACAGCCAAAAGGTGGAAATAATGCAAGTATCCATAAGTTGTTCATCAACTAACGAATGGCTAAACAAAATGTTGTATATCTCTACAGTGGAATATTATTCAGCAAAAGGAATGAAGGTCTAATATATGCTCAACATAGATGAACCTTGAAAACATGCTAAGTGAAAGAAGCCAGTCAAAAAATACCACATATTATATATTTATGTGAAATATCTGGCACTGGCATATCTACAGAGACAGAAAGTAGACGAGTAGTTGCCTAGGACTGGGGGTTGGGCACAAATTTGAAGAGTAACAGCCAAAGGGTGAAGGGTTTCTTTGTGGGGTAATGAAAGTGTTCTAATATCATTTGTGGTGATGTTTGCCCAACACTGAATATACAAAATCACTCAGTTGTACACTTTAAATTTTGAATTATAGGGTATGTGAATTATATCTTAATAAAGCATTACAAAAAACTCTACCATATATAAATTAAAATGGAATACTAAAAATATTCAAGAAATGGAAAGGACAGGAATGAAAAATAGAAGGAACATGCAGTATTCAACACAATAAATTAGAAATCTTAAATCTTAACATTCATAATTACATTAAATGTAAATGGTGTAAACACACCAATAAAAAGGCTGAGATAAAAAAGAAGACTCAATTATATGCTATTTATAAAAAAAGTCACTTAAAATACAATAACATAGGAGGTTAAAAGTAAAAGAATGAGCAAAACTGTAATAAACAAATACTAACGAAATGAAAGCTGGAGTTAAGTATATTAATAGCTAATAAGGTAAACTTTAGAGAAAAGACAATTACCAGAAACAAATAGAGATATTATATAGCAATAAAAGGGTCAATTTACCAAGAATACATAAAATTCCTAAATGTATATGTACTAAATCATGGAGCTTCAAAACACAGGCAGCAAAAACTGATAGAATAGAAACACTTGAAAACACAATTATAATTGGTAACTTCAACACTCTTCTCTCAGTAATTGCTAGAATCACTAAAATGAAAATCAGTAAGGACACAGAAGAACTGAACACTGAAATAAAGCAACAGGATCTAACTGTTATTTATTTAACACTTCATCTAATGACAGCCAGGAATATAGTCTTTCAAAACACCCATGGGACCTTCACCAAAATATACAATATACTGGGTCATAAATGAATACCAACAGATTTAAAGAACGAAAGTCATACAAAGTGTATTATCTGATGACAATGTAATTAAACTAGAAATCAATAACAGAATGATAACAGGAAATAGAAAATATTTAAGATAATCCATAGGTTAGAGAGAAAATCTCAAGGGAAATTAAAAAGCATGATTAAATTAATAAAAACATATTGTTGTAAGGTTCTTGAACCACACATGAAGGAAGCTTAGAAGGAAATATATAGTAATGAATGCTTTTAATTAGAAGAGAAGAATAGTTTCAAATCAATTATCTATGCTTGTACCTTAGAACACTAAAACAGAAGAGCAAATTTAACCCAAAACAAGCAGAAGGAAGTACATAAGAAAAATAAGAACAGAGAGCAATTACATTAAAATCAGAAAAAAAAACAGAGAAAATCAATGAAGCTAAAAGTTGGTTCTTGGAAAATTAAATTAATAAATCTCTAATCAGACTGATCATTAAAAACAGAGCAGACATAAATTCCCAATATCAAGAATGATATCACTACAAAGCCCGCAGATATTAAAAGGCAAATAAGAGAATGTCATAAGCTATAAACTCACAATTTAAGTGAAATGGACAAATTCCTTGGAAGATATACTCCTTCAAAATCCGTTTAAGATGTAAATACTCTCAACAGTACTTGTGGTAGGATAATTCTAAGATGGCATCCAAGACTTCCAGCCCCTGGTATACATGCCCTGTATGGCCCCCTCCTCTTGAGTGTGGGCAGAACTACGATGTCACTCCCATGATTAGGTTTTGTTATGTGGCAAATGTGAAGGGATTTTGCAGATGTAATTGTCTCTTAATCATTTAACTTCAAGTTAATCAAGAGAGATTAGTTTGGGTTGCTTTGACCTAACCAGGTGAGCCTTTCAAAAGAGCGTCTAGAGGTCAGAGGTAGAAACTGGAAAGATTTGAAGCAGCAGAGACACTTTCCTGCTGGCCTTGGAGAAGCAA